ACAATGATATTTAGATACATTCAGATCGTAGTGTGTACTGCATCTCAGATTGACATGCACACTACTAGATCATTTTAGAGACAGAAAATGCTTCATATTTTTCAGAGATTTGCTTATATGTGAGTTGGAAATATGTAATCATTTCTGCCCTTCATTTCCTACAAATCTAAAATACCAAAGTGAGCTCAACTGTGAGCATGTTTACAGACATTCTGCATATTGTAGTCATTCTTTAAATTCACCCTGTCTAGATGTGTTACAAACATAAGTTGCCCAAATTCAAAGTAATTGACTTTCAGCCAACTGTGACCAAATCGCACACACAAAAAAGAACACACCATGTGTTATAGCACGAAAACTCATCCCAAACCCAGAAGTTTCCACCACAAAAAACTTTTAATAGCCTGCCTTGAAAGCACACGAATATTCTATTATGAATAAGACAATTTATTCACTAGGGCTAGAAGGTGTAAATTTGTCTCAACATACAGATTATTTTTAACAGAATTATTTTCTGTATTTGTTATAATGAAAATATTCACAAAAATGAACATTTTGCCACCATATTTGTCAAAAAAAAGGCACTTCTTGCTTTTTCAGTATATATTTGGTATTTGCTCAGTGTTTCTTTAACTAAAAGGAGAAAAGAGGCCCTGAGGAAAGAGAGTAGGAAGCATGCATAAATTGTGCTTTTATCTCCACTGAGTATTAAATACCAAAACCCACATTTTAATATATCTGATTATAACATGTATTGGACTACATAATGAGGAATAGCATGAAAAGTAACTATAGATAACAGATGTGTAATAAAGTGTGTCTGTAACCTATGGCTATGAATCCCATTCCTCACACCAATGTTATGTACTGTTATCTTCTAAGTCTCCTTCCACAACAGGGAAATGAAACCCCATGGCGAGAATGTTACAAACTTGATTAGGGGCCTGATACAAATACATGACATTGTAACTTTTCTTGACCTTAAGAGTACTTGCTTCCTCAGTAAACCTTTCTATTTTAATATTTAGTTGCATGACAGATAGCCCCACTGTCATAAACTTCTTGACACAGAGCTATTTTGTGCCTTCAGTGTCTCAGTAATATAAATATTAGATGTACTAAAATCAAACAACAACAAAAACAACAATAAAAAAATGATGATCAAAGCTTCTCAGATGTGCTTAGCCAGCACAAGATAGAATGTTGAAGCTATGGAATAGTTTCAGTTACCTTGCATTCAATGGAAATAAAAATTCAAGACACTTTTTTAGATGGCTTTGACCTCTGAGTTGTACTAAATACCATTTCAGCACTGTTTACACAGGTAATAAAATATAATTATTGAGTTGGGGGGATAAATACATTGCTGTGGAATAAGCTACAATCTGGTCTCCACATCAATAAAAATACCTTTTCACTTGTGATAGTTATTTTCTTGGCTTGAAAGGTCATCATTTGCTTGAATAAATAGGCGACGAGGAAGCTTTTCAAGCTGTGTTTCTAAGGAAAATGAGACCTGAATTGGAGGAGACGTGTATGGTAATGAGAAAGTGTGATGATGAGTTGTGTGTAACTGCAGGCAAACGCCTTCCTCCTTGGATGAAAATTTAATGATGGGTTACGTTTCCAGTGGGAAAGTAATAACTTAGGTATGTAAAGTTGTACACTCCAAAAATGAAATTATTTTCTGTTTTAAAAGATAACCCCAAAGCTATATACCTGTGATTTTGTCTGTCACTGTCATTAAGTGAGCACCTAAAATGAACTTTGAACATTTCACTCTCTGAATTACTTTCTGGCCCTTATGATCTGTCAGGGAATGCAAGTGGCATGACGGGCACGTGGATCAGATTTCTTGGCTCCTTGGAAGTTTTGGGAAACTACTCTGGGTCAGTGAAGGAAAACTGGAATGAGATGCAGTAGCTGTTACTTTTCCCATTGTGTGTCTGTGTTTAAGAGAATATATTTTATCTCCTTGAGGTATAATTCTACTTCTTTTTCCATTAGTCCCATCATGGAGGAGGTGCGCTGTCAGATGAGTGGACATTGTGCATACACATTACACACCTAACTGCGTGATGCCTCAGATGTGTGCACGGTCGATATATGATAACTGTGTCAGTGCGTTAGCTCATGACGTCATTTTCATTTTCTATGTAGTATCTAACACAAATACTACATCCTGGTGGCATGAAACCCACCATATAGATGGCTAATCAGAACCATAAATATGTGCTTATGATATAAACTTGAATAAAGCAACAAAATACAATACAGACTTTGATATTTCATATATCTATGCCAAATATTTAAAAGTTAGTACTCCTTCCACATCCAGTAGTTGTATTTCTATATTTTATATGACAAGAAACCCCAAATGAGGTAATGAGATGAATAAGCTATCTGCACATAAATCCTCTTGACTTAAGCAAAATAATCAATATCTGGTCTATGTAGTGCCAAAATGATTAGTTTAACCTGAAATATCACTTTTCACTGGTTTATTTTGAAATCATGGCAGACAGAATAATAGCTAAATGATACTTATCAGTTAAAAATAGAAGACCATCAGATTAAGAGAACCAGCCCCTGCCAAATAGGTCACTTCTGTTTTCTGTGTGCTGAATACTCAATTTATGTATTGATCTTTTTTTTTACTTATATATCTTTGCTGCAAGCTAACGAACAAAATTATCAATGCTGTACAAATATGTTTGTGTTGTATGTGTATACATATATACACATATATGCATTCTATGCATTATGTATTACATACACATAAACACAGAGCATTTTTCTACTGTCACTGTCCTGGGAAGCAGCTCTTAAATGCATCTAGCAGCTTCTTGCTTGGATGGGTCTTCTTCTAGCATCCTTGCTGTCATATGCCACTGTGAAGTGCATTGTAATTAGCTGCACATTTTATGTCATGGAGCTGCACTACCCAGTGATAACAGGTTAGGGCTGTCAGTTCAAGTAGCAAGAATGTGAAAGGATATTAAGTGAAAGGATGACAACACAATGGGAATACTTCAGATCCCAGAGTCATTCCGAGTTTGGCCCTCTGTCAAGCAACAGGCTACCTTTGCCATGGAATCTATTTCCAGGATCACCTGGCCTGCTTCTCACCCCTTACCAATATGTGCATACAGAGAAATTTATTCTTAGGCTTGAGTTTTGGAGAAGCCTCTAAAATTATACACACAAGTCTCCTGGAATCACAAGCCCTGATTCCACTTATATTTCTGACTACAAGTGAAGACTTCATTTCAGAACTGTTGGATGGTGTCAAATATTAATGCTAATGTTTAGCTATTTAAAGTTGTTCAAAAATTAGACATCTCCCATTTCCCTAGAATAGCATGCCTCTAGATGCAGAAATATAGTTTAAAACAGATCAACTTTTGGAACATGCATATAGGAAAACCAATGAAAAGGCACATTAAGAAAAAAATTTAAAAAGAGAGATCGATTTCAAAAAAAAAAAAGAGAGAGAGAGATCTAGAGACAAGATACATTATTTTATTCAGATTCCTAGAAATTATATATGGTAGAAAATATAGAATATTTTCACTCTGAGCAAAATAGTTTAGTTATTGGGGCAAGGCATATATGTGTGAAATCAGTGTTTGTCTCTGCTACCCAAAACTTCTTTCCCCTAAACTATAACTGCTGAACAATTTCTAGGTAAGTAAATATTAAAGGACTTGTAGAAAGTGACTTAGTGCTTAACCTTTCATATTTCCCCATATACGAAGATCATTTCAATTAGAAAAGTATGCAGAATAATTTGGCATAGAAATGCCTACTTCTGTTAAAAACAAACTCTACCCTCCAAATCCATCTACTCATATTTAATTGTTTTCAGATTCTAACTCTGTGGTTTGTAATTTTCTTAACACAAAGTTTATTAAACCAAAGATAGAAATAATTGTCTTCTATTACGCTAAGTGACTAACGATTTGTTTAGTTTTGTTATTATCATTACTTATGTTTTTACCTCCTGCAGAAAAATGTAAGCAAGAGTTTATTAACATCAATAGAAAGTAAACATATGATGAGACACTATTCTCCCAGAACTGATGATCATTTTACAACAATGCAATTTCTTAGCCAAATAAACTAAAATCTATTGGTATGAATGGCTACCAGTTCTGTTTCCACAGTGCTTTGGCTAGCACTTGCCTGAGACGAAGTGCCAAAAATAAATAAATTATAAATGTATTAAACCAATGATTAAATAATACCTGCTAGCATACATGCTCTTACAATGTATTAAACATATAATAAAAAGGAGAGACTGCTTTAGAGAATGGTCTTTATCAGTAAAAATTCTGCTAAGGCACATCAAGGTTTAATTAAAACATCAAAATATGGGAAGAGACACAATCTGACAGATAAATGTGAATATCATGGCACTGTCACTGAGCTTTTCTAATGAGATTAGATTCCTCCTTTAATTGACACTTCTAACTGAGGCACAGATAAGACAGATTTAATGGGAGCAGTTTTATATAGCTGGACCCTAGCTAGATGAAGGAGCGTTTGACATTTAAATATCATAAACGATATATTATACACGCCCATCTCTAACATACTGTCAATATTAAGAAGGATAAGCAGATACTTTAAATATACAAGGCAGAGACTAGGAAAAGTAATGTAAATAATCCTTATAACAATTCTGTTGCATCAAATAAACCTTCATGAAATACCTTCCATTCAATGCACCTACGGTGTTGTATAGAAAAAGTCTCCCGTAAAATACCTAAAGGTAATTAATTTATTGTTTATAAAAATGAATGGGAGCATATAAAGTTGCTTCTGAAAATGTGTCAACGATTTTCTTTTTCGACACTAATAAGATGCTTTTCTGGAATTATTTTCACTTGGTACTAACAAAAGACATGGGAAAAATCCATCAACTGATGCAAGGTTGCATCATGATCAAGACAAAAGAAATAAACCCATCATTTATTTAAAAATATCAATACAAGAGCTTCTTTCTTTATTGGCCTTTAATGAGGTTTCCACCATGAATTCATCTTAAGCACTTTAGCTTAATGAAAAAAATGTGCTATTATGAAGTCTCTTTTGTATCAGGTCTATAATCCAGGTACCGCAGCTCCAGGATCTATGGCATAGTCCACTGCGTTCAGTTTCCTAAGACTCACTGGTGGCCTTTGGAGTCAAAATCATTCTCTTACGTTTGTCCAGTTTATAGCTGGAGCTCCTCTGATAATTCTGCACGTATCAAGCAATCATTGTGTTTCTACAAATCTTGAAATATAACTGCATAGGAACAAAAGATGAACTAAACACAGATGAGGAATAAAACATTTAGCTTCAGGAGGCAAGATTTTACAGAGCTTGGTGAATATAAAGAGAAAATAAAAGATATAGAGACTGTATGCCTTAAATAATTATTATGCCCCCTAAATATTTATGCACAAACATAATTTCAATGTGTTCGGTATGTATTTGTGGCTACAAAAGCATATATACATTTATAAATATATATAGGTCTGAATATGGACAGACATCCTCAACATCCAGACTGAGACCTGAGTACTAGTTAATATTTGAGAGAAGAAAAATAATTAGTAAGTTTATGAATTGTGTTTGATTAGCTCCCTCCATATCTATGATGTGTTCACTATGGTCCAGGCACCAAGATAAATAATACATTTCCTTGGCTTCCAGCAGCTGAGTCTGTGGAATAGATAACAATATAGCCAAACAATCACATGAAACAGACCCATGACTTTGCCCAGGTAGTCAGTGCAGACTTTGCACTGGGGGTAATGCTTGAACAGAATACTAAACAGTGAGGAAGTATTTTTCACACAGATGGTGTAAAAAAGAAAGGACAAAACAAGATTTCTAGATGAGGCATGAGAGAACAAGCTCTGTTCAATAAATGGCCATAAGTTTAGCAAATCCAGACTTAGTGGTTGAAGAATTGGGCTATGTAGACTTGCTGCAGGGAAAATGGGGAGGTGGGAGTAATGGAAGAGGCTGTTGAGCTCCAGATTTCCACTCCAGAGCTTAAGCAAAGCAGCCCAGTTTTATTCATTTTCCATATGAGGCTTTAAATCAGATTTTCTTTGAAGAAATAATCTGTTGCTAAGAAAATACATTTTATAATTATTTCATTAAAAAGCAGTCTAGGTTAATGAAGGACCTTGCATGCCCATCCTTGTCAATCGAGGACAGAAAGTCCAATGAAAGATGTAATGAAGTGAGTGATAGGATCAGTTTGCTTTTTGGGAAGGTAAGTACAGTAGCAGGAGGGTAGAAAATGGTTTACAGTGGGAATGAAGAGACATAAGCTAAGAGATTATGAGAGCCTGTAACTGAGGAAACTGGAATGGAGAGAAGGTATTCACAAGCATTTGAATGTAGTGGATGGGAGAGAAATAACAGTCTACACCAATTTCCCAGATTTGACAAAGGTGACTGGTTGCAAACAGGCTTCATAAGGACTTATCTAACAAAGTATTCTTATCATGATCAACGTAAAGCATAGTTTTGTAGTTAGTTATTTCCGACGTTTATGTATCAAACCAATGCAAACAAAATTAATGTGATCAAGCACTCTTCCTCTTCGAGCAAAAACTGGAGAACCCCCATAACCACAGTCCACGATTTCAACTAGTCAAAGAAAACAAATATCTATATGGCATGTTTTGAGGATTTTAGGAAAAAATAACTTATGATGCTAAGTAGCTTCGCCCCACTTTACAGATTTTAAAACTGAAGGCCTGAAAACTTATAATTTGTCCAGTGTCCCATAACGAGTCAGTGGTGAAGTCAGCATTCCCAGATGTTTATGTGGCTCCAAAGCCTTCATGCTCTTTCTCACCCACCCACATGCTCCTAGTGCCTCCCCAATGTTTTCCATCAAGCCTGGATTCCAGAAATGACTTTTTATGAAGTACATAATTTCCTGGACATTTAAATATTCCTGAAGTGGGAAGAAAAATGTATCCATGGCTGAAAGGGAAGATGTTTATATCAAGATGGCAGGTTAGCCCATCGTGCCAGTGTTTTTCACAAGTTGGTCCATGGCAGCCCATATAACCAAGAACTGTGATCTAACCTCTTAGGAGTATGATGGTTTCAAAACTTCCCTCAGTTGTGCTAGTACACTGTTTACACCTCTGTTGAAATCTAGTTTACCATACTTGTGTGATTAAAGTGCCCTCTTCCCTCTAACCCCAGATTGGAATGCACTAAAGGGTCCTCCAGGGTACAGGTACATGAGTGCCTGAGCACCCAGCCTCAAATGACACTTAGTTTAAATCCATCCTCTTTACTCTCCCTCAGAGCAGTCTGGGGATCTCACAGGGCTTACAAATATGCAGGGAGATTGCTGGGTTCCACATATCCATATTGCAGGACTGGGCTGCACTACAACATCTTTTTGGGTTGAGTCAAGGGATTGCTGACCAGGTGGTGATGACATGGTGGTGTAACAAGGCTAGGCTCCTAGATGCCATCAAGAAGTGCAGAAAATGAATGAGAGGCCAAGGACTGTGTGGCAGACTGTTTGTGTGAGTTGTCCCCCAGAGAGAGGTGCTGGGATGGGTTCAAGGTCTTTCATAGCAGCCAGCTCTCATCCACACACACTGGCATCATGCAGGCACCAAACCTGTCTTGAATGGATGGGATGGGATGGGGCTCAGGGTCCCTTTCTTTACATCCTAGAGTGGCCTTCCACTTCCCCCCTTTGCCTTCCTTTCCCATGTTGCTACCACCTCTGCTTCTAGGCTTGAAACAGGATCTTTGTGGTCTTGGTACCCCTATTTCTTATGATGCCCAAGGTCCCTTGCCAGACTAATGCTCTTAAGACCAGGGCCAAGTCTCTTGGACCCTTTGGTCCCATGGTTGGATCCCAGCACATACCAGATCCTTAAATGTTTGATGAATGAATGTGTGATGCATACCTCAAAGAACAATCTGCTGTGTACAACACCGTTGCCACAGTAACCAGCAGGTACTTCTGGGAAAGAAGGTGGCTACAGGGGCAGGAGGCTAGGGAAGAGCAGCATTCAAGTGAGTTCCTCCTACTAAAACAAAAGGGAAGCACATCAAAAAGACCAGAAAGCAGCTGCAGGGGCTTGCTAAGGATAAACTGTCTTTGGCTCTGCCTTGGGCAATTACTTTGGGGCTGAGGTTTAAAGCATGGGTGGTGGTGAGGGATGAGAAACAGGAGAGTAAATGAAAGGATCCAATATGCTAGTGTGAATGTTTCCATGTTACTACTTTACATGAAGAAGATGTATAGCTGCTGGGGGCTGGGGTGGTTAGGAATGCCTGGTCTCAGTCTCTTGGGGTGAGGCAAACAGGGATGTGGCAGTGGGCTTTAAACAAGCCTGCTCAGAGATTTTAAAGGAGATAGTCAAGTCTCATTGTTAATTAATTAACTAGCTCAGACATCAGCGCACTTTAGCTGTTATATTAGGACACTAGGATGTTAGCATTCTATAAATGCTATTGATGCTTGGAACCCAGAGACAAGTGTTGGCCCTACCTAAACCACCTTTTAAGGAAACATGTTGGTACCTGAAGACTGTATTGCCACGTGGAACTGAAATAAGAAGCATAGTAGAATTTTGCTGAGGCAAGCCAGATAGGTGAGGGTGTGGTGACTCAGTGAGCAGAGCCAAGGCACTAATTCCCGTGGTTCCTACAAGAGTGACTTATTTCTTCTATGACCAGCTCAGGAAATACATGTAATTTTCCTATCATCTCCACACCCAGGGTGAGGTTGGGGTTGACATTTTAATGCACTGTTTTGTAAATAACAAAAGCATTTGTCTGAAATTTTGCTGTCTTTGTTCTCTGTGAGATATTCCTCATACTTTAAGGGCTGCATCAATAGTTGGATTGAAAAGAAAAATAAATAAATAATGACATGGATATGGTGGTAATTAGTAGCTATACAAATAATGAGGTTAATCAGAATTTATATCTAAGCAACTCTATATTATTGTCAATTCTTCACATTGCTTTTGAGTAAAGAAGGCCAATCCCACTTTTATACTGTTTTTTGTTGTTATTGTTTTGTTTTGTTTTTAGATAGAGTCTCACTCTGTCACTCCAGCCCAGGCTGGAGGGCAGTGGCGTGATCTTGGCTCACTGCAACCTCTGCCTGCTGGGTTCAAGCAATTCTCTGCCTCAGCCTCCTGAGTAGCTGGGATTGCAGGCACTCGCCACCACACCTGGCTAATTTTTTTTTGTATTTTTAGTAGAGATGGAGTTTCACTATCTTGGCCAGGCTGGTCTTGAACTCCTGACCTCATGATCCACCTGCCTCGGTCTCCCAAAATGCTGGGATTACAGGCATGAGCCACTGTGCCTAGTCTTTATTCTGTTTTAAATACTAGCCATCATACTATACTAATTGCCTTGGTTTGAATGTGTCCCCTAAAAAGCACATGTTGGAAACTTAATCCCCAAAATGATATTATTGGCAGGTGTAGCCTAATGAGAGGTGGATAGACCATGAAGACTCCATGTTCATGAATGGATTAATGCTGCTATTGCAGTAGTGTGTTTGTTATCATAAGACTGAGTTTATTATATTTATATTTTAAAAGCCAGTTCATTCCTCTCTTGCTTTTATGCTTACCTTCTCTTTGCCCTTCCACCTTCTGCCAGGGAATAATGCAGCAAGATGACCCTCACCAGGTGCCCAGTCTCTTGATCTTGGACTTCCCAACCTCCAGAATCATGAGTTAATACATTTCTATTGATTATAAATTACCCAGTCTGCAGTGTTCTGTTGCAGCAGCATGAAATGGACTAAGAACATTTTTATTAAAAATGGTACTGACAAATATTACAGGCCCAAGCTCTAAAAATGTTTCTCTAAATTAAACAACACAGTATGAAACAATAAATAAGTAAACATTTTAGCCAAGTACAATATTCACTTAAATCTTAAATAAGATTTATTTGAGTCTAGGATGACGCAAATTCTAGAGGAGAGAAAGAGATGTAATCAAATATTTACTATGCAATGTCATAAGATAAATATAAGAATGGAGTGCAGAGCAACATGGGTACAGCATTGCTAATAATATCCTGAAAGTCAGTCTTTCAAGCAAGAAATATAGCTTAAGGAAGAAAAAAATGATATATAATCTTTTCTTTCACTTTAATTTTTCTTGAATAAAAAATGTGTGAATGTATATAAACATCCATATACACACACATACACACACATATATGCATATATAACATATGTATGTGTATATATATGTGTGAGTGTATACATATATACA